CGCCTCCCCCGGCCCGCGCCACCTGTCGGCCCGCCTCCCTCTGCCGCCTCCCTCTACCGCCTCCCTCTGCCGCCTCCCTCTGCCGCCTCCCTCTGCCGCCTACCTCTGCCGCCTCCCTCTGCCGCCTCCCTCTGCCGCCTCCCTCTGCCGCCTCCCTCTGCCGCCTACCTCTGCCGCCTCCCTCTGCCGCCTCCCTCTGCCGCGAAGGTGCTCAAGACGGTGGACGTGTCGTACGGCGGAGAGAACGGCTTCAACCAGGCGCGAGCTGGGCAGTCGCGAGGTAGTCGAGGGGTGAGGAGGCACTCCCTACAGAGAGGGCACAGGCGGGTTGAGTTCCCAGCCGTGCGCAGATAGCCGTGCAGACGGGGGGCGGCGCGGTCGCGGCATGCTGCCGCGGTGAGGCGTTCCTTCGTTTGTGCGGGCAGGCGATTGAGCTGTCGGCCGAGACGCTGGGCAACGTCAAGTTCGTGCAGGAGAAGAAGCTCATCTCGCAGTACTTTGAGCAGATCTCGCAGGACACGGGCAAGTTTTGCTTTGGGATCGACGACACGCTCAAGGGGCTCGAGATGGGCGCCGTGCAGATCCTCATCGTGTGGGAGAACCTTCAGGAAGGCCAGGAACCTTCTAGGAACCTTCTAGGCGCCGTGCAGATCCTCATCGTGTGGGAGAACCTGGCGACCTTGCGGTACACGCTCAAGGACGCAAACAGTGGCGCGCGGCGGCCTCGCGCCCCTCCCCCCGCAAGCCGCGCGCCCGTCACCCCGCCGCCGCCGCTCGCGTGCAGGGGAGGAGGAGGTGAGGCACATGTCGCCCGAGCAGGAGGCCGACAAGTCCAACTTCGTCTCCAAGGCACCGCCCGCTCGGTGCCCTCCCGCCCGCCACACCTCGCTCTGACGGGCCGCCTAGCATTCGCCGCGCAGGAGGGCGCCGACCTCGAGGTGGTCGACAAGGTGCAGCTGGTCGAGTGGTTCGCGTCCAACTACAAAAACTTTGGCGCGACGCTCGAGTTTGTGACAAACCGCTCGCAAGAGGGCGCGCCGCCCGCCGCCGCCCTGCGCCGCCCCTCTCCAGCGCGGGGGGCGCGGCCTGACGCAGCCCTCTCCCGCCCCGCGACAGGCTCGCAGTTTGTCAAGGGGTTTGGCGGGGTGGGAGGCATCCTCCGGTACAAGGTCGATTTCATGGAGCACGACTACGACAACGACGACTCGGACTAGCCGCTCCGCGCGGGGAGCCACCGGGGAGCCACCGCCGCCGGACCGGCCGCGGAGGGGGACGGGGCCGCGTCCCGCCAACGGCAGCCGCGCCCGCCGTTCGCACGCCACCGGGCGGTTCCGGGACGCGGGAGCCGCGTGCCTCGACCCCTCCGACGGCGTGATGGCGCGGTCTTCGGAGAAGATTCATTGTATCTATAATCTATAATCTGTGGTGTGTCGACCCCCTCGCTGCGCATGTCCCGGGAGACTACGTGTTGTGGCGTCCAGAAGAACGTTCACATGAAAAAATTACTCCCGTATGCCATACCGTGTGTGTAGTGTGTGTGTGGTTGCTTTGAGCCCCCACCATCACACGCCTCTGCGGCGTGCGGGTTGCGCGCCGCGCCGCAAGAGCTCCAAGGCGCGCTCGGGGCCCGGCTCTGACCGAGCCGGTAGAGAGCAGCACACGCGCCGTCTCAATACGCCAGTCGACACCCACCCCCTGCGCGTCCCCGCCGGCGCGCCGGCTCGATAACGATACACCAGAGCCCGCCACGGCGTGGCGTCGCCGCCATCCAGCCGCGTCACCCCCCCGCCGCGCCATCCGAGGCCCGAGAGCCCTCCAGAGGCGTCCTTTACGGGGCTGGGAGGCCCGAGATGATCGACGCCTCCAGCCGACGCATCAGTCGACGGGCGTGGCGTCGGGCATGTCATCGTCGGCGGCGTGTGCGCTGCTCCGGATCTGGCGCGCCGTCGACTTGCACTCCTTGAGGGTGCTGAAGGTGGTGGGGGTCTTGCAGACGGGGCACTGGCTGCGCCGGCTGCCAACCAGCCAGCTGTGGATGCCCTTGTGCGAGAAGACGCAGCGGGGGGTGTGGCCGGGCAGATGCGCCGCGCTCATCGGCCGCAGCTCGCCCTTGTCGCTCATCCGCGTCTGCAGGATGGGGCAAGTGAAGTTGAGCGTCTGCTGCGTCATGACGGGATCGTCGTCGTCGCCAGAGCCGGAACCGCCGGCAATCCGCTCCCGCAGGCTCGCCAGCTGGCGCGCATCGGGGTGCGCCCGGAAGGCGGCGTCGCCCCTGTCGCCGCTGCCTCCCGCCCGCTGCCGCGAGGCGGCGCTCTCGAGGTGCTCCTTGAAGCCGGCCTCGAGCTCGTCGGGCGCGCTCGGCGCGGCGGAGGAGAGGTAGTCGTTGACGCTTCCGACTGGAGGGCGGGACGGCGACGGGCGCTCTCAGCGCAGCGATTGGGGCGGGCGTGGACCGTCAGGAGCGCGCGCACGTGCATTCGCGGCGGCCTCCGAGCTGATCAGGTCGCGCAGCACCGCCTCGCACTTGTCGAGCATCGCGAGGGTGCGCTCATCGCCCAGGTCGGCCCGGCTGTCCACCAGGTCGTTCGCCTTCTCGATGAGCCTAGCGCGGGGAGAGCGCGGCTCTCGGAGGCGGCGGGTAGGCCGCGCTCGCCGCGGCGGCGCACGCCTGTCGATGCAGACTTTGGTGTTTGACTTGAAAGTGCCGGCCTCCTGCACGATCTTGTGCGAGGCGTTCTGCGCGTGCACGGTGGCGGCCATCCCTTGGAGGAGCGGAGGAGCGGGAGTGGGAGTTGGCGGGCGAAATTCTTTTTCTACGGAATTCCTTACCAGCATCTTTTTCTTTCTCCTCGCGGCGCGGTTTGTTTTGTTCCTCTTTCGCGAGCGAGTTTCTCGTCTTTCCACGTGCTATGAGCAGGAAGCGCAAGCAGCGGCCGCCTCCTTCCACCGAGGCTGCGGGCGGCGACCCGCTGGCCGCCACGCTTGCCCGCTGGCTCAAGAGCCGCGGCGTCGTCTGGTCTAGCGCGCGCGTCGCGACAACGAGGGAGGGCGTGGTGGCGGGCTACGGCTGTGTCGCGCTCCAGCCTCTGCGGCGAGGCGAGGAGCTCTTCCGCGTGCCGCGCGCCGCGTGCCTCGGCGCAACCTCCGCGGGCGCCGACGCGGACGGCACGGACGGCGACTGTCAGCGGCGCCTCGCCCTCGCGCTTCTCGAGGCCACTGCCGACTGGGCGCCGTTCCTCGCGATGCTGACGCCGGCGCGGTGCCCGTGGGTGTGGAGCGAGTCGGAGCGGCGGCAGCTCGACGGCACGGAGCTCGAGCCCGTCGTCGAGGCCAAGCTCCGCGCGCTCGCCGAGGAGCACGCCTCGCTCCCGCAGGCCGTGGCGGAAGCCTGCGGCGCGGAGCGGTACGCGGAGCTCTGCGCGCTCGCCGCGTCGCACGCCAACCCGTGGTGGGGCGGCTGCATCGCCCCCTTCAACACGACGCTCAACTGGGCGCGCCGGCCAAACGTCTCCTTTGAGCCGCGCGGCTCGAAGTGGGTGGTGGGCGTCGCGACGAGGTCCGCCACACCAGCCTCCCCGCCCGACCCTATCGCAGCAGCCGCCCGCCACGCCCGCCTTCTCGACATGGAGGCCGCTGTCGCCACACTGTGTCACTTCCCTGCCGCAGGCGCATCCGCGCGGGCGAGGAGCTGACCCAGGCCTACGGCGGCGCCACGGCACGCCCTCGCCATGCCTGCCTCGGATGTGCCTCGGATGGCAGTCGTGCCGCGCCACCTGACGTGCCTGGCGCTGCGGACTTGGTAGGCGGACCTCGTCTACAGGTGCGGCTTCGCCCCGCCCCCCGCCGCAGAGGGGGAGGAGGACGGGAGCGGCAGCGACGACAGCGACGACGGCGACGGCGACGACGTCGTTCAGGTCTCGCTCGGGGCGCTGGCGCGGGCCGTGCACGCCGCGAGCGGTGGCGGCGGGGAGGAGGGCGGCGGGGAGGAGGGCGGCGGTTCTTCCCGGCTGGTGCGGGAGCGAAGCGGTGCGCTCGAGCGGAGCGGCGCCGTCGAGCCCAGCCCGTGGGACGGCGTCGACCAGCTCACATTCGAGCTCGGTCCGCGCGGCGAGGGCACTGCTCGGCTGGTGGGGGCGGCCTTGCTGCTGCTGGCGCCGGAGGCGGAGTGGCGGCGCGCCGTCGGCGCGCTGGACGCGGGCGGCGCGGAGGGCGGCGCGGGGGACGACGACCGTGCGGCGGCGGCGCTGCTCGGCGGCGTGGTTGGCGCGAGCGAGTCGGAGCGGCGCTCGCTGGCTCGGGTCGGCGAGGAGGAGGGCGGCGAGGAGGGCGACCCGTGGCCGAGCCTGCTGCACGCCGCTCTCCTGGGCGGCGGCGGGCGGCGGGCGGTGATGGAGCGCGCGCGGCAGGTGGCTGCCGCCGCGGTCGCCGACAGGGAGGCCGCCCTCGGCCTCGCTCCGACCATGTCTCGGCTGCAAGGCGTCAGTGCCGAGGTGCACTGCGTCTGCTCCCGCCTCCGCGCGTGCGAGCGGTCCGTCCTGCGCTCCGCGGCCGACGCGCTTTCCGCCCCGCCCGAGGCGGCGGTGTCGGCGCGCTTGTTCGGGTGACGCCAGCTTGTTCGGGGAGGGGGGGGACGGTGTGCCAAAAAGAAAATCGGGCCCTCTCTTCTCCTACCCGACCTACCTGCCAGCCAGAGCGGCTCGGCCCCCCCCCCCCCCTCTCTCTTCTCCCGTTGCACCTACCTGCCATGTCCATCTCCAAGTCCTTTCGCTACCAGGCCGAGTCTAGCGGGCTGCACCCAGACAGGTCGCTCTGCCCCTATTGTGGAGCGCGAAAGCGAATGCACGTCTGCCGCTGGGCGTGGCCGAGCAGCCGAAACAGCAGCAGAGCCGTAATCAGTGCGGCATCGCCTGCAGCTGCCCAGGCACACAGCGGCGGCAGCGTCCGCATCAACCTGTCCGAGCTTACGCCTGCTGTTCCCGAGGCTGCCGGCCATTCTCCGGTCGAGTCGGACTGGCTCAGCGACGGGCCTCGCGTTGGGGCTAGGGTGCTGCGGCGCCTCAAGGGCCACGGGCACGTCCATGCCGTGGTTCAGCTCTACCTGCCGGCGGGCGCGGATGACGAGCCCGCGCTTTGGCGCATCCGGCATGCGGACGGGGATGAAGAGGATCTGGTGCGCACACCCAGCCTCATCGCCGTCAGCACCGCCTCGTCGCTGCACCGCCCCTCGGGACCGCTATGCCTCACCCTCCCCTCGCCTCCGCTCGCACAGGAGGAGTACGAGCTGCTCGAGGCGCTGCAGCGCTTCGCCACCAGTCGTGCGGGCAGGGCCAGGGCGGCGGCGGAGGCGGCGGGTGGACACGCGCGGGTGGCGGGGCAGGCGGAGACGTCAAGCTCGGGAGGGCCAGTGCGGGCGGCAGCGGCGGCAGGGGTTGCGGACGACGCGGAGGGAGAGACGGCGGAGGAGGCGGAGGCGGAGGCGGGCTCAGCAGGTTTTACCGCCTCGCCGCCGCCTCCGCCGCCTCCGCCGCACAGGGAGGCTGCACCCGCCGCGCCGCTCGTGACAGAGGCGGAGGGGCTACGCTTGCACCTCTCCAGCAGCAGCAGCACCGGGTACAAGGGCGTGCGCGCGGACAGGAGCCGCTTCAAGGCGCAGCGCAGGGTGGGTGGAAGGCTGCTCTCCATCGGCACCTTCAACACGGCGGTGGAGGCGGCGGTGGCGTGGGCGCGTGCGGTCGGCGAGTACCAGCCTCCGACGGTGGCGACGGAGGCGGACGGGCTGCGGCTGCACCTCTCGAGCAGCAGCAACGCCGGCTACAGGTGCGTGTTCCAGCACGCCTCTGGCCGCAGGAGCCGCTTCCAGGCGCAGCACAAGGTGAACGGACGAAAGGTCTCCCTCGGCTACTTCGACACGGCGGTGGAGGCGGCGGTGGCGTACGCGCGGGCGGTCGGGCAGACGGAGGCGGCAGGCGCGGCGGAGGAGGGCGACGAAGTAGGCGGCGAGGAGGAGGGCGGCGAGGAGGGCGGGTGGAGCGGTGGCGGCGAGGAGGAGAGCCACTTCCAGGTGGGAGGCCGCGTCGCTGTACAGTACTCTGACGGCGCCTTGTACCCGGGCGAGATCGTGGGCTTTGACGGTGCGTCGAGCCTGTACTCGGTGCGGTGCGACGACGGCGAGTTGCTGGAGGACGTCTCGCTGCACGAGATGCTGCGAGAGGTGGGAGAGGGCGAGTGGGAGGAGCAGGAGCGAGCGAGCGGGGAGGGGATGGAGGTGGAGGAGGCGGAGGCGGCAGCGGGCTCAGCAGGGCCTCCGCCGCACAGGGAGGCTGCACCCGCCGCGCCGCTCGTGACAGAGGCGGAGGGACTGCAGCTGCACCTCTCGAGCAGCACCAGCACCGGCTACAGTGGCGTGCGCGCGGACAGGAGCCGCTTCAAGGCGCAGCGCAGGGTGGGTGGAAGGATGGTCTACTTGGGCTCCTTCGCCACGGCGGTGGAGGCGGCGGTGGCGTACGCGCGGGCGGGCGGCGAGTACCAGCCTCCGGCTCCTCCGACGGTGGCGACAGAGGCGGAGGGGCTGCGGCTGCACCTCTCGAGCAGCAGCAGCACCGGCTACAAGAACGTGGGCAAGCTACCCTCTGGCCGCTACCAGGTGCAGCACAAGGTGGGCGGAAGGCAGGTCTACTTGGGCTCCTTCGCCACGGCGGTGGAGGCGGCGGTGGCGTACGCGCGGGCGAAGGCGGGAAAGGCGAGAGGGCCAGAGCGGGCCGCGGAGGAGGCAGGGTCGGCGGAGGGCGCGGAGGCGGAGGGGATGGAGGTGGAGCAGGCGGAGGAAGCGGAGGCGGAGGGCTCAGCAGGCGGGGAGAAGGGAGAGAGGGCGGAGGAGGCGGAGGCGGGCTCAGCAGGTTTTACCGCCTCGCCGCCGCCTCCGCCGCCTCCGCCGCACAGGGAGGCTGCACCCGCCGCGCCGCTCGTGACAGAGGCGGAGGGACTGCAGCTGCACCTCTCGAGCAGCACCAGCACCGGGTACAGTGGCGTGCGCGCGGACAGGAGCCGCTTCAAGGCGCAGCGCAGGGTGGGTGGAAGGATGGTCTACTTGGGCTCCTTCGCCACGGCGGTGGAGGCGGCGGTGGCGTACGCGCGGGCGGTCGGGCAGGCGGAGGCGGCAGGCGCGGCGGCGGTGCCGGCGGAGGAGGGCGACGAAGTAGGCGGCGAGGAGGAGGGCGGCGAGGAGGAGGAAGAGGCTGTGGAGGCCAGGGAGATGGAGGCGATGGAGGCAGAGGAGGCGGAGGAGGCAGCGGCGGCGGCGGCGGAGGAGGAGGAGGGCGCAGAGGGGGCGCCGGAGGAGGAAGAGGCGGCGGAGGCCGCAGGCACGGCGGCCGTTTCCGCCGCCGCGCCGCTCGTGACAGAGGCGGAGGGGCTGCGTCTGCACCTCTCCAGCAGCAACGCCACCGGCTACAAGGGCGTGTACGAGCACTCTGGCCGCTTCAAGGCGCAGCGCAGGGTGGGTGGAAGGCTGGGCTCCATCGGCAAGTTCGACACGGCGGTGGAGGCGGCGGTGGCGTACGCGCGTGCGGTCGGCGAGTACCAGCCTCCGGCTCCTCCGACGGTGGCGACTGAGGCGGAGGGGCTGCGTCTGCACCTCTCTAGCAGCGGCGGCACCGGCTACAAAGGAGTAGCGCGGCGCCCCTCTGGCCGCTTCTCGGCGCAGCACTGGGTGGACGGAAGGCTGGTAGGCCTCGGCTACTTCGACACGGCGGTGGAGGCGGCGGTGGCGTACGCGCGGGCGGTCGGGCAGGCGGAGGCGGCAGGCGCGGGAGGGCCAGCGCGGGCAGCAGCGGCGGCGGGGGAGGCGGAGGCGGGGGAGACGGAGGAGGAAGAGGCTGTGGAGGCCAGGGAGATGGAGGCGATGGAGGCAGAGTAGGCGGAGGAGGCAGCGGCGGCGGCGGAGGAGGAGGATGTGCCGCCGCAGGCCGAGGGGTTGCGTTTGCACCTCTCCGGCTGCACGGGCTCCGCTGGCCTGGCTGCCGGCTCTCCGTGCTGGGCCAAGCTACGCGGCTCGCCTTGGTGGCCTGCACTCATCAGCGCGGAGGAGGGCGAGTCGGTGCGGGTGCGCTTCTGCGGCACGGGCAACGTGGCGACACTCGAGCGCGCGAGCTGCATCAAGTCGCTCCGCGAGGACGAGCGCCTCTTCGACGCCACGCGCTGGGGCAAGGACTTTGGGCGGCCAAAGTGGAAGCACCTTCGCGCGCCCTTTGCGAGTGCCGTCGCTCAGGCACTCGAGGTCGAGGCGGCCCTCCCGCATGCGCCGCCGGGCGCGCTAAGCCGAGGACCGGCCGGAAGCTCCGCAGACAACGCGAGGCGGTGCGACGAGCGGCCGCCCAAGCGTCGTCGCACCTCGGCTGCGCAGGAGGCGGTGCAGATGGTGGCAGACCTGGAGACGGCGGACGCGGAGCTCGACGCGCCGCCTGTGCGGAGGTGCGCCGTCACGCTCGACCGCTGCTTGCCCAGCAGCGCCAACCGCGGCGCGGCCCCTCCTCGCCTCGGCATCGGCGACGGGTGGGCCGCCTCGTAATGTTGTTCAAGTGTTCACCCCAGCCCATAGGCAAAGCCGTACGTAAAATGGCTAGCGGGCGAGCTCTAAACATTCACGTCTACAAAGTATTCGCCGATAACGATTGGGGTAGCGGGCTTGTTGTGCGAGTATATGGGCCAAAAGCGTCGAAAATGTCCCAAAAAGCGTGTCTAGAGTTTGTTGCAGCCCCACAGCTGGCGCGCGCTGCCAGGAAGCACCGCTCGCGTGTCGGCGGCACTCCCTGGCACCCAGGGAGTGCCGCGAACCGACCAGACCGAATGGGCTCGACGCCGCGCTCGCTGTGGGGCTGCAACAAAGTCGCCGCCGAGCGTGCCACCGACGGCGTCCTGGCGGAGGTGGTGGAGTTTGAGACCTGAGGCTGCGGAGGTGACGCCTGAGGTACCGGGCCGTGCACGGCGACTCAGCCGGCGACCGCCACGGGCTCAGACGAGACTTGTCGACTCGTTACGGCTCAGCTTCACCGTGGTCATCGGGCGTCTGTCGACGTCAGGACCACCATACAGCTCGCGGGTTTGAGGTCGCAAGAGCCAAGATGGTGGCGTTTGGACATCCCAACCATCACACAAGACAGCCTGTAGGTGATGGCGGGACGGCGCAGTGTTTGTGGCACTCGGCAGTAGGCACCCGCGGCACGGCCCCGCTGTCGGCTCTCACGGGCTGCGGAACCGGCCCCAGAGGGAGCCGGTCCGGGCGAGTGTGGCAGCTCCTGCGCTAGTATGGGCACCCTCTATCATAGCACTACTGATCCTGGTCATTAGAGCTGCCAGGGATAGCGTCAGGAGCCGGTAGGAGTCAAAACCTCTCATATTTGAGACATCGTGTCCCATATACTCGCACAACGAGCCAGCGGTAGGGGCCCTAACTCGTGATAGGCCACTAGTTTCCCGCAGGAGACTCACGGAGATCCTCTCCTCTCCTACCTCTTCTTCTGCCTCTGCGTCCTTCACGGACTCTCCGTGGACATCTTTTACTTCATCTTTTACGGAAGTTTGAACTTCCGTGTGTGTCGGGCGCTCCCGCCCGCTCGCTGCTCTGATGAGCGCGGCTTCCGCTGCTCTCTCCTGCTCACCTGGCCATGACGCCGCTCCTCGTCCTTGGCCGCGCCAGGCTCTCCTTCCTACTGCGCCAGCCCTTCGGCTGCACCAGTTCTTTCTTCTCCGTGCAGGATCTGTGCGTCTGCGCCATTGTTGCTGTTGCTGGCGACTGTCCTTGGCAGCAGTGCACGATGGGCGATGGCCTCATCTGCTTGCCTGCGATGCTCTGCGGTCGCCTCGGCCCTGCCACAGCGGCCTCGTCCACCTGGAGACCTGAGTCGGTGGCTCCACAGCCCGCTCTGAGGAATGCTGTTGCATCTCAACTCGTGGCGTGCCTCTCTCTTCTCTCCGTCAGGGATACTGCGTAGCCCTTCCTGGTGGAGGCGCGCGCGATTCCGTGACTCTCCTTTTACGCGCCAATGTACCCTCACCGAAGGTGCATAGGAGTGAATCCGAGTGAAACTAGTTCGGGCATTCGCGAAGGTTGGTGTATGTGCCGCGCCGCGTCCCTACGGCATCGAGACCCCGCGGTAAACCATTGTATTATGCTCGCCCTGCTTCTCGCCCCGGTGCGCCAGTGCAACCATCAGCGGATCAGCGTCAGCCAGACCCGCGTTACCTCCCTCAGCTCGAGAGCTCTGCCGCACGCTGGGTGCAGCTTGTCCTTTGCAGGTCCCGCGTTTTCGCCCGTGCTGCCCACTGCACGGCTCGGCAGCACTGCTGTGAGGCCTCACTGTGCTGTCGTGGCGAGTTCTGGGGCCATGATAGGGTCACAGTGCGGCCCGGTTGTGGATGCAGCCCCGGTCGTGTTTCGTATGAACTTCGCAGAACGCGTCTAGCCATAAGGCGGACGTGGGCGCCCGCACGACCGCAGTGCAGCTCGTCAACAGCCACAACGGTCGTCAGCTGTCTGCCGGCGCCGACAGCGTGAATAACACCATCCGCGTGAATGCTACGCGGGCTGCACGTGCGCGTTTGCGGGCCTGTGCCGACAACGTCTCGCTCCTCTTCTATAGCGACGAATGGGTCAAGGGCGGGCCCGTGCCGGACAACGACGCGCGGCTGGTCGCGCTGCTCAATCAGATGAACAATAGCAAATGCGTCGTGCCGCCGCCCTTTGGCAAACTAAAGGCGTTCAAGCTCTCGGAATCACTCGCCAAACGGCACCGCAGCGGTGCGATCGTCGACGTATTTCGGATCGCCATGGAGGACCACAGCGCCAGGGCGGTGACTACATCCAACGTACATCACACCGACTCGTTGGTCGATAAGCCGGCGCCAAAGGAAAGATCAAAGGCGTTCAAGTTGCCGTCGGCAGGCTTCTACGCTGTCCACGCGGCGCTTTTGCTCTGCAGCTCGGTGTCGCTCTTTGGCTTTCAGGACAGCCCCCAAAAGACCTTTCACTACTGGGGCAACCAATCAGCACTCGACGCCTCCGGCAGCAGACGCTTCCACAACTTTGAAGCCGAGCACGAGTACTATCAGCGCAGGCTGAAGGACAGCGCGCGCGTGTGTGTCGCACAGGGTTCGTGATTTCACATGGAAACAGCGAATCGATTTCACTTTCACTTTCACTTCACATTTCATGTGAAACGAAATTTCACTTTTCCGCGAGCGAGTGCCGAGTGTGAACGTGAATAAGGACGGATGCTCCCACCGAGTTCCGACACTCTGACACTCACTTCACACTGGCGTGCTGTGGGCGAATACGGTGCCGATGGTGGGATGAACTCTCTCAGCAGGCGAGTATTGGGAGTATTTGCAGTCGAGAGTATCATTCTCGACGCATTGGGAGGGCGGCCGCGGCGGTGTAGCTGTAGGGGCGGCGGCGAGCTCCCGGTGGCAAATACTCGCCTCACAGTCCAAGATGGCGGCTCGCGCCCCCGGCCGTGCTCTGGCGTGCCTCTCTAGTCCCGCCTGCCACCCAGATACCGAGGGCGGGGCGCACTCTTCGACTTGGGCTATTATCTGGCCTCGGGAGGGCGGCCGCGGCGGTGTAGGGGCGGCGGCGAGCTCCCGGTGGCAAATACTCGCCTCACAGTCCAAGATGGCGGCTCGCGCCCCCGGCCGTGCTCTGGCGTGCCTCTCTAGTCCCGCCTGCCACCCAGATACCGAGGGCGGGGCGCACTCTTCGACTTGGGCTATTATCTGGCCTCGGGAGGGCGGCGGCGGCGGTGTAGGGGCGGCGGCGAGCTCCCGGTGGCAAATACTCGCCTCACAGTCCAAGATGGCGGCTCGCGCCCCCGATTTTTTTTTGCCCAAATCACCCCGTTTTTGCCCATTTTCGGTCACCCGTCAAAATATCTGAAGATCTGACCGGGGGATTCTCCCCAAACCTTGCTCAGCTGATCCAGCACGGGCCGTAGGCCAGCCCTGGGCAAAGAAACCAGTACCTCATCGGGCTTCCCTGAGCGTCACAGCTCGGTGATCGCGCCGGCCGGACACCACTGTAACGTCCGTTCCGGGCGTTTGAACGCGACCTTCGGGGGCAAAGACATGGGCTCTATGGCTCAGACTGGACTCCTCTTGGTCCCTTCTGATGCCCTAGGCCACACCTGGGCCTTACCTGGGGTCGTAGGGGCCGGGCAGGGTTTGCCCCCCCCCAACTGGCCCGAAGAACCTTAATGCCCGCAACCCTGGCGAGGTACTCCCACGCCTCTCGGGGTTTTTGTCTGGCCGAGTCAACCTGCTGGGGCGAGCCTCGGCGAGACTGCGTCAGCTGTTCCCACAGCAGGCTGGAAGTACCTCGCGCGCCGCGTCACCCGGAGGCGTCACAGTACGGGTAGGCCAGCCACGCCAACGCCAAACGCGCATATCCAGCAGTGCCCCCTAGTCCCAGTCCGATCCTTCTCGCTCTCTCCTCCCTGTCCGAAGCGAAGCACTACATGATGCAGCCGGGCTTCGCGCGCGGCTGTGCCTCTGGCGCCGGGCTCGCCACGGCCTGCGCGCTCGTCCTGGCCTTCCTCGCGTGGCGACAGCTGCCCGCCCAGCCCGGCCAAACCGGCGGCTCGTGGGGCTCGAATGGCATCAGCGAATCGTCGTCGGGTGCACTCTTCCGCGCCGTAAAGGTGCGTTCGTACCAGGGTCCGCGGCGCTTCGCGGACTGGCGGCCGAGGCCGGATGCCAAGAAGGGAGCGCCGTCAAAGGAGTGCAGGCAGTGGGCGGTGGTCACCTCGATCTTCCCGCCGACACAGACGGTGCGGCAGCTCGCCGCTCTACCATCGTGGTGCGTGGTCGTGGCGGGCGACAAGAAGGGCCCCGTCGAGTACAACCTCTCTGGCGTCCTCTACCTGACGCCAGCCATGCAGGCAGCTTGGACCTCCTCCCTGCGGCTTGGATCTCCTCCCTGCGGCGCTGGCCTCGCTTCGCGCCCCCCGCTCCACGGCTCGCCCCGCGCACCGCTGCCCAGCCCGCCTTCTCTCGGCTTGGCAGGAGGCGCTCCCCTTCGAGTCCAAGGCGGAGCTGCGCTGGAACCACTTTGGCCGCAAGAACCTCGGCTTCCTCTATGCGATCCAGCACGGCGCCCGCTGGGTGTACGACACCGACGACGACAACGAGCTCCTCTTCCCGGGCCCGCGCGCGATCCCGATCCCGCCGCCCGACGCGCTCGCCGACGAGGTGTACACGTCCGCGCGCCTCTACAACCTCTACCACCACCTCGCCGTCCTCCCGGGCAAGGCGCGCAGCCCACCACACACCGCCACGCCCACACACCGCCACGCCACCACACACCGCCACGCCCACACGCCACCACACACCGCGCTCCACCATCACACCGCACGCCACCATCGCACCACCGCTGCACCCAGCCGCCTGCACCCCGGATCCCCGCCGCCCCCCCCCCCGAGCCCGGCGCGCCTCTAACGCCCGAGATTACCCGAGATTACCCGAGATTACCCGAGCCCGGCGCGCCTCTAACGCCCGGCCCTCGAGCCCGGCCCACCCGCGTCGCAGGCGCACCTCCCCTGGCGCACCTGGCCGCGCGGCTTCCCGCTCGAGTCCATCAAGGACAACGCAACCACGTCCGCCGCCTTCCGCCGGCGCGCCCGGCCCTCGCGCCACATCCAAACCCTGGCCCTGACTCTTACCCTGCCCTGGCCAGAACACCCTAGGCGCGCCTGGCCCTCGCGCCGCATCGGCGTCTTCCAGTCCCTCGCGAACCACGACCCCGACGTGGACGGAATCTACCGGCTCACCCAGGACCTGCCCCTCTCCTTCAAGCCCTCCCTCGCCGGCACCGGAACCTCGTCCGCAGCGCTCGCAGGCCGGCCCCTCCCCTCTCCGTGGAGGCCCGGCGAGGCGGCGCCCGAGGCGGCGCGGCCTCCGCGCACCGGCCCCGCGCCGAGCCGGCAAGGCTCTGGCCGCTCGCTGGCCGAGCAGGGCGGGGGCGGCGGGCAGGGCGCGGTGGCGGCGGCCAGCAGGGGCGGTCGGCGGCTGAGCGGCGCGGAGGGGCGCGCCGCGCCGCCTCCGCTCCACAGTGCCGCCGCCGCCGCTGGCGGCGGCGGCGGCGGCGCGGCGCATGCGGCGAGGCCATCTGCAGCGCGGGCGGGCGGCGGCGCCTCCTCGCGCGCTATCACTCTGCGCGAGGGCAGCATGATGCCGTACAACGCCCAGGCGACGCTGCACGCGCAGCGCGCCCTCTGGTCGCTCCTGCTCCCGTGCTCCGTGCACGGGCGGGTGACCGACATCTGGCGCGCCTACTTCGCGCAGCGGCTGCTCTGGGACGTCGGGCTGCGGCTCGCCTTCTCGCCGCCGTGGGTGGTCCAGTTCCGCAACGCGCACAACTACCTCGCCGACTTCAACTCGGAGGTGCCTCTCTATCAGCAGGCGGGCGCGCTGGTCGGGGCGCTGCTCCGCTGGCAGCCGGCGGCGAGGACGCTGCCCGGCCGCTTCGAGGAGCTCTACGTCCACATGTACGAGCTCGGCATCGTCGGCCTCTCCGACGTGCGGCTGGCCCAGGCTTGGCTCGCCGACCTCGACCGCATCGGCTACCCCTTCCCGCCGATCCTCGACCGGCCTCCGCGGGCGGTCAAGCCGGCGAGGAGCGGCGGGGTGCGAGAGAGGCATGGAGAGAGGAGGGCCGCGACGAGTGGCGCCGGCCAGGCTACGTAGAGACTAGAGTCCAAAACGTGAGGAGCCGCCGAGGTCCTGAGCGCTGAGGAGGGCGCAGAGAGGAGTTTTTGTCCGGCGCGTGGTCTCTCTCATAAATGATTCTAGGGGACTCTTCTCTTCAGTCCACGACGAGCCTCTCTCGGACTCGGTCGCCTCGACCGTGTTCACACGCACATCATGCGCTTGGTGGGCCGCGGCGGCCGGGGCGGCGCAGCCGCAGGAGGTTACCTCGTGCCCCGCAAGGTGAGATCATACGTCCGTCGCTTCCGAGGGTCCGAGAGCACCGCGTGCGCCTCCTGGAGTCGCTTGAACGACTCCTCTGCCAGCGCCTCGCCATTCTTGTCGGGGTGGAGCTTACGTGCTAGCTTTCGGAACGCCTTTCGGACCTCCTCCTCGCTCGCCGTGCGCGGCAGCGAGAGCACCGTGTAGTGTGTCTCCGCGCGCAGCACTGCTCTCATCAGCTGAGCCAGCTGCGTGTCCTCTGGCGTCTGCTGCGGCGCCGCGGGCTCGCGCCCATCGCCCGCCCCGCTGCGGCGCGTCTCTCCCCACACCGCCCGCGGTGCTGCCGCCGCCTGCGCCGCCAGCCAGAGCAGCCCGGCCGTGAGCATGGCCCACAGATGGGCGAGGGCGGCGGCAAAGGCGGCAAAGGCGGCGACGAGCGCGGTGGACACGGCGTTACCCTCCACCCAGGCTGCCGAAGCACGCCCACCCGCCGCCTCCGTGTCTTTTGGGCGTGCCGCGTCCGCCCCAGGCCCCGCCGCCGCCCCTGCCGCCGCCCTCGCCGCCGCCCCTGCCGACCTGGGCCTGACAACCTCCACCTCGGCCTCGGCCTCCGCGGCGAGGCGCGCGGCTGCGAGCGCGGCGGCGTAGGTGGCGTTCCCGGGCTGCAGGGCCACAGCGCGGCTCAGCATCCGCACCCTCTCGCTGCTGATGCTCGTGCTCCGCATTGCTCGAACGTACCAGCTTGCCGCCGCCTCTGCGTTGGCAGCCCCGCGCGCCTGCTCGCGCGCCTCCTCGAGCGCGGCGCGAGCGGACCGCTCCAGCTTCGCCGCCGCCTCGGCGCGCGCGTGCGAGGTGCGCGAGTCCGAGCGGCGGGCGGCGGCCGCGGCAGCCTCCAGCACCGCCCTCGCTCGCTCGACCTTTCGCCGCCTCTCATCGTTGTCGGAGGCGTCGCGCTCGCGTCGGCGAGGAAGGAGCCGCTGCCGGAAGCCACTGAGGTAGGAGCGGCTCTTGGAGGCTCGTGGTCCGCGCGGAGACTTTGTCAGGCCGGCCTCGTCCATTCGCTTGAGCGCGTCGGCGTACAGCGCGGTGGACGGGCTGAGTCGCCTGGCCCGCCTGAGGTGAGAGATGGACGCGGACAGGTCCTCCTCCTCTAGGGAGCGCAGGGCGCGCTCGAAGGCCACCGAGGCCTCCGTCATGTGTGTGTTGTGCCACCGACTCGCTGTCCGACAAGGATGGCTGACTGCCGAAAAAGGAGCGGGCGGGCCTCTGCGCCGGGGAGGCGTTGTTGGCGGCTAGGACGCAAGCGTCCGTCGCCGTTTTCAAACTCGGGGCCCACTCCGCTACGCCCTACGCTCCGACCCGAATTTGGAGGGCCATGAAATTTAAGGTGTTGCTGCGCAAAAGGGGTGGCGCGCGGGCGCGCGCGCGGCGGCGGGCGTCGAGCGCGGAGCGGCAAACACAATGACGTCGGAAAGCTCTGCATCAAGTACGATACAGTAGGCTCTATAGCACGGAACCAGAGTGCAAAGCATCCTCTCCGTCCCGTGCAAAAGAGTGGCGAGGGCTCTGGGGGGGCGCGGGGGCCCCCGGAGGCACCGTGCGCCGCGCCGCAGTGCGGAAACGGGGCCCCGGCTCCGTTAGTCTCCGTTAGCACCAACTTCCCGAATCATTACGGTTGATTAGAGGGCATATTTGGAGAGATCTCGAGGAGTACATACAGATAGACCCTCCAACCATCAGAAACCTCCGACCTGATCGGTCGTACTGACCGCCGACAGATCACCCCAGACAGCAGACAGGCCGACGTCTGCACGCGGCCGGCCGGGCGAGAGGCTTGACACGATCCGACCCTGCGACCATGACGCTGCTGCTCTAGCTATCAGACATGCACTGCTGACTGCTGCCACAATGTGCGACCTGTGCTGGCCCACTTGGCGGCCTTCCCGGTCGGTGGTGAGGCGCAGTTCAGAGCTGTCGATGGCGCGATGCCGCACTGGTCCCACATTGGTGACACGAGACCACCAAGTTTGCCGTTCCAAGAGAGAGGTACCGGCGCTGTCCTGAGAAGGTGCGTGGTCCCTCTTGACTGCCCATGCGCGCGAGCGTGCGTAGGCATAGCCTCGAGAGTGCCAGCAGCCAATCCGAGGCGACGCGCATTGATTGCGCCAGAAGCGTGCACACGTTGGAAGGACACCTTCCTACTGGCCGTACGATCAGACAGGTCGTCACTGAATGCTTGATACTAAGGCCGCGAGCTATGCAGGTGATCAATTGTGCAGCAGGGCACGGTCAGCAGCGCCGACAGGCTGTCGCAAGGCGTGATAGCATGGCCGCAATACGCCGAATTCCCATGAACAAGTAAAAAATCGCGCGAAAAAAGAAAAAAATCTCGAAAAATCGGCGCCTGCGGCGGGCCGTGGGACCCCATCTCCCCCCCGCATGGGTACCCTCTAGGGCCCCCGCGCCCCCCCAGAGGGCGAGGGCCGCGGATGGCGCACGCGTTCGCGTGGGAGGCGGGGTGAGGTGCCGCAATGCCAGCAGACGTTTACCTTACCTTACCTTACCTTAGATGGACCGCCAGATTAGGCCTCGCGGCCGCGTCTCCCGCGCGCAAAGAGCAAGTTTTCGCAGTGGCCTAGAGCGTGTAGATGCGTTGTGTGAGAGACGAGTCAGTGCGCGAAAAAGGGCGCAAGAGCCTAAGGCCTCGTCGGCGGCGAAAGTAGCCAGAGCCACGTACTAGTGGCAGCAAGCCTGTAGGGGCGGGCCGGTCACTGTCAACTCGGCGAGCCGCAAGCATTCACCTTCTTCTCGCAATCTCTTGGGCACCCAGCAATGCCCCAAGCGCTCCACGTCGGAGCGTCTAGGAGGCTGCATCTCTCGGAGCTCTAAGCCGGGCATCTCGGCGGAATCTCACCCATCTGCTCGCCGCCCGAGCACCAATCGGCGGAGGCATCGTACAGCTGGTGGCCTGTTCACGCGTCGTCTTCTGTGAAGAGGCGCATTCGACGAGGGCGGAGGAGCCACACAGCCGGCAGCGACCGGAGCGGCGTAGCAGTGCAAGCAGGCGGCCGTACCCCAGGAACGTCGCATTGTCTGGCGCCCACTTGAGAGAGAGGTGGACCTACGTGCTGAATACGCCGACATGAGGGCGGGAAGACGGTATTGTGCAGCGTATTCAGAGCACCGCGTGAACACGATGAATAGGAATTACAGCGGAATACGGGTGAACACAGCGGAATACGTGTCCTCTCGGGCGCTGGTTGGGATACAAGAGTACGTATTCCGCTTCTAGGGAGGTGGACCTCGAGGGCGAACTGGTCGACGGTGGCGAAGAAGAGCGGGTTGTGGGCCACCGTGTCGGCGTACAGCGAGTACTCGCAGCCCTCGCAATCCATCTTGAGCACTGCCTATTCACAGCTAGAGGTGTGAAGAGACGCTGTTCACAGCCTCCTCGCAGTCCATCTTGAGCACTGCCAGTGGCGCCGCCGGCGCATCGACGCCGCCGCCGCGGCCTCCTCCCGTCACCCTCCTCCCGACAGCCTCCGTCGGCCCGACCGCTCTGCGGAGCTCAGCGCTGCCAGGCGGGCGCAAGCGGTGGGATGGGCGATCGCCTAAAAGACATGTCTCGGACATGACCTGGACGTGTCCTGGACATGCCTCGCGGTGGGACGGGCGATCGCCCCCGCGTATCAACACCTCGAGATTGCGGGAGAAGACCGCCTCGTCCGCGAACCTACGGGAGGGGGCTGTGAGGCTCTGGGACGCTTTCGAGAGGGCTCCGAGACGGCCAACGAAGCAAGGGACATGATGTCGGTGAGTCTCTCGCAGCCGCTAGCCTCTCTCGGCTAGACCTCCTGGCTAGATGTCGTCTATATCTCGGCAAGATCACAGATCGCGACCAGATTGCAGCCCGATCACAGATCGCGGACATATTGCAGCCAGATCGCGGCTAGATCGCGGCTGGTGCAGATCTCTGCCAGCTCTCTAAGCTCGGCGAACCTCTCAGCGGTCGCGAGCCGAGTCAGGAAGGACGGACCAACAGTCCGCCAGCCCGCACCAATCCGCGGCTCCGGCAGCAGTGCAGCGAGGCTGCAGTTCGGCCGCATGCGAGGCGAGGCGCCCGGCCCGCACATCAGGCGAGGCGTGCTCGCCGGCGCCGCCCAGGGCTTGAAGAAGACGTTCGGGCCGAGGCGCGGCGGGTGGCGCACCGTTGGATCGCACGCCACCACGCGGCATCCCGTCCGGTTGGCGAGCTCGAGCTCGAACCAGTAGTTACGCTCCACCCCGTAGCTCACAACTGTGCACGCGCCGGCCTCGTACTCTGCATGGCAGAGCACGTGGACGCCGTATGTGCTCCCGCCGTGCCCACGGCCAACCCTCATCCGCTCGCACGACGGCAAACCAGCCTGCTTCCGGCGCAGCCGCAGGTCGATGGCCTCGCCGGTGGCGATTAGCGCTTCGAGTGCTTCCGAGTCGGTGACTGGCGCGTACGATGCCATGTACATGCGGCCTCGACGGAGCTTGCCAGGACACTCACAGGACACACAGAGGCGACCATACGTGAGTGCCGTCCTGTTCAGACCGTCATCACTTTGATCATGGTCGGATCATGGTCCGATCACGGTCGGAACAGATGGGGCCCGTGGTGACGGCCCTATTTCCGGACCTTGATCCTTTCGTGATCAGCCCATGTTCCGACCATACTCGAACCTATGTTCCATCCGTGATCGGCACATGGTCTGACCATGTTCGAAGAAGCGGCCCCGGCCCAGGCCCCGGTCGCCCCGGCCGCGACGGAGGCAACGCTCGACGACGAAGACGACGATGCCTCCGGCCCGTCCATACTCCTCCGTGCCGCGGCCGAGATGATTGTAGACGAGGCGGAACGCAACCGCCACATTGACGCAGCCGAGGCGCTGCTCGGGCTAATTCCGACTGTGGACCTGGAGACCAGCGTCATGGGCGTTGGCGGCGAAGGAGAGGAGCCTGCCAATGAGGTCGGTGCTGGCGGCCCTGGGCCCGTAAATGGCGAGCCAGACGCCGGCCCATCACCGGGAAGGGAGGCGCCGAGGCTTGGCGCGAGGCGTGCCTGGCATGTGAAATTTGTGCTCCGGGGTGTACTTGATGGTAGGGTGTTGTCCTCCCAAGATCTGCTCAGAGTCTCGGTCATCGAAGCCGTAAGAGGTGTACTCTTGGAACTTCATGACAACCTTACTCGACCCATCTGTGATGCCGAGCTCATTTGGGGTGAACGTCGCCCAGCAGGTCTCCTCGCCGACTTCGTGGGAGCCGGAGTAGTGCAACTCACAAGTGCCTATCGGTGGCTGCGGCTTGGGGACGACGTGGACCGGGATCTGGATCGATTTCGGAGAGTCGGCCGCGCCGTCCAGAGTGACCGTGCACCTGTAATAGCCGTCCACCCCAACGGTGGCGGTGCTCTGCGCCCGCACGAAGCATTAGTCGTCGCGCGGACTGGTGAACACGTTGTCAGACTTGGTGAATTTAAACGTGGCGCCGTCGGTGGTCTGCTTGTCGTTGCTCCGCGCACACCTAATGCCGGTCGAGGACTGCCCGACATAGAAGGACAGAGAGTCGAGAGGTGCGGCCCGTCCCAGCCGTCTCGTGTTGAGAGGCGTGGGTGGGGCGGTCAGAGTAGGGGCCGCAGAACGTCCAGGGGAGGTGGACGCGGACCTCAACCCGCTGCCCGTCACCGTCCGCGTGGGGACGGCCGTCGACGTCGTCGGGCTCGCGGGGCGGTGCTCGGCTAAACCAGACCAGGCGGTCCGGCGCCGCGACTCCTTTCTTACGGCGGCTCGACTCCTTGTTTAGGCCGAAGACGATCACGGGCTTCCAGACGCACACCACGCCCGTGCTGCTGGCCATCGGCGAGCGTGCCGAGCTCGCGACGGACGAGTACCTGCCGCTCACCTCGGTGCTCGAGGGCGTGGTCATCCTCAAAAAGAACCCAGAGTTCGAGGGGCAGTGAGGAAGCACGGCGAGGCGCGGTAAGACGCGGCGCATGCGTGGCGAGGCGGGGGGGGAGGGGGGGGATGCCGCCCACACGCCACACGCACACCCACAGGTGCCACCTCGCCTCGGGAGCCCCGCCGCGACTTGCCATTTCGCGCCGCCAAAAGGAACCGTCTCTGGCGTCCAACGAGCTTTTTTGTATTGAAGAGATTCTGACGTCTGTCATCAGTGACACGAGCGGTGTCCCTTCTGACCTCCCGCGTCCCGGATGAGGGGATGACCTGGCAGCTGGCTGCTCCCGTCAGGAAGCGGAGAAGCGCGTCCACCGCCGGCGCTCCCGGCGGCGCGCGCTCTCCGTGAAATTCACACCCAGAATATCTCGGCCATGCCACACGCCGGCCCGCTCGTCTCGCCCCGCCGGGTGCGGAGTCGGCTCCGCGGATGACTAAGATATAACGTTACGTATCTACCGCCTACCGGGAACTGATTCAAGATAAGAGTAACTCTACCATCTTTGCGAGGCGGCGCCTTGCACGCAGATTAATCGCTCGGCGGGGCACAAAGCATTCTCACCCAACACGTGCGTGGTGCCCGTTCTCCGGAGCTCTGTCGCCACCTCAGAGGGCACGCGCCCCTTGTGGCAGTTGAGGTGCAGCTCGATCGGCCAGACTCCCACGCGAGTCTGAGTTGTCGTACTGCCATTGGCCAGCGCTCGCCGAGCGGCTTGCATGAAGGCGAGCTGGCTGCGGCTCTCCTCTGCGGCTGCGACGTCGGCCGCGTAGCGAGCTGTGGCAACGCGGAAGAGCAAGGCATCGTTGGTCGTGTACAGAGAAAATGCATCCTGTACGTGCTGCTTCATAATCGCTTCGTTGAGGACCTTTTCGGAGCCGGCGTTTGAGTTGCACGAAGGCAAGCGAGCAGAGAGGGGTCCCGGTGCGCCCTCACTGTGCGAGGCGGGCAAGTAGACACCGATACGCGCCATCAGAAACCAGAGAAACTCGTTGAGTCGCGCGCTCGGTGCCACGTAGTCGTAGGCCGCTAATAGCTGCGCGTAATGCAGCGGAGTTGAGAGGTTGAGGGTGGAGCTGATCCCGCTATTCAGCCACCGGCTCTGCCGATCCGGGTTTTGGGCTAGCCACAGAGCGAGGTCGTCGGCGAGCAACGTGGCATTCCTCCGCACGCTCGAGGTGCGAGAGAGCGATGGAACCACACCAAGCCCGCCGTCGAGCCGAAAGTATCGGTATGCAGACCGCTGAAGAGACTTTGGCTCACGCACCACCGTCACGACCTGGAGCATGCATGAAGCGTCGCGATACATCTTGCGGAGCTGCGGCAGGTGCGACAGGAAGAGCCGCATGTCACGGCCGTGAGGGTGATAGGAGTGGTAGATGTGCGTGCGGTGCCACGAGGGCAGCAAGGTCGGGACCTTGTGCCTCTGAAACCGCAGGCCCAAGATGGCGTGGAGCACATCGTTTGGGAAGTGGTGACTAATGGAATGTGTCGCAACGTAGGACCCCTCCGAGACCGCGCTCCAGTTCTTGCCAATCATACGTCCACTCACATTGACCTCGGGCGGCCTAGCGTTCGCAAGCGCCCAAAACAGATCGTCGACGGTGGTACCGCCCGTCTTTGGGATGTGACCAAAGACGGTGAGCGAGCATGTGCCGGCGTCGGAGCGAACGCCTTTCAGCGTCGGATGAAGATATCGTCGTTCGGCGGCGCTCATCACGAGCGGCACTGAGGTAAGAGGCAGCGTTAACCAGCGGGCGGCGGCGCTTTCAAGGTGCCTTGTTTCATGTTTGCCCGGTCGGCCGTTGCATTCGGGGTTTTCTTCTTGTTCTCCAGAAGAAAAAAAAGTTGTCGGTTCGGCACCGGGCACCGCCTCGGTACACTCTGCCTGCGGGCCGACGTTCACATTTCGACTTTTTGTTCTTTCCTGCTCCCCGCGCGCTCTCTCTCTCTCATGCTCTCTCTCTTTCTCACGACGGCACCTCCTCCTCCCCCTCCCCCTCCTCGCCCCCGCCCCCTCTCTGCACTCTCCAAAAGTCGACCGCCACGTCCTTGCTCGGCTGCCGGTGGTGCTTGTACATTCTGGGGATCTCGAACCGCAGCTCCGCCACCACGGAGGCCTCGCCGCCGGCCTCGGCCGCCTTTTTCGCGATGAACGGGCGGGTGGAGGTCTTGTGCAGCGAATAGACCGCGCCGCCGGGCCGGCAGAGCCGCAGCCCCGCCTGCAGAAACGCCACGTCCGCGCCGTGCGACTCGCTTCGCGTCCTCTTGTAAGGACGATCAGGGACACAGGGGAAGGGGAGCGGGGAGCGCATCCCGTAAAAAGAAAGAAAACAGACAGCCCAAGGGAGGGATGGGAGGACGGCACGCCGCCACCACACAGGGATTTTAAGAAGAGGGGTGTGGTGCGCTAGCCGTCGCATCCCGTATAAATAAATAGAGCAGTCATCTCCAGGGAGAGATGGGCGACGCATCCCGTGCCCAGTGTTGTGCGGGGTGTAAAATTCTTTTCGCAGACCCGGCACGGCGTGACAGGCGCCCCAGGCGCCCAGGCGCACTGAAACACCTCGGGAGCCGCCAAGAGCGGCCAGCCTTCGCACCTATCGGACCTCTGCCATGGCCCTCACCTGCGGCCGAGCCGCCCTCGCGCTGCTCGCCGTCTACGTGGCGATCCTCTCGCACACGCTGCTCGAGCTCTTCTACCCGTCGCCGTGCCGCGGTGCCGCCTGTCTGCAGCCGCTGCTGCGCAGCGGCGCCGCCGTCGACCTGCAGGCGCACATCGACGGGCGGCTCGTCTGGAGCGCAGCCGGTGTGAGCAGCGGCGCAGGCCTCGAGGACGTCGCGTTTGCGGTCCCGGTCCCGGCCGAGGTGCGGCTGGGCAGTCGAGAGGAGCTGCATCTCGACTTCTCCATCGCGCTCGCCGGTCAGCAGCAGCCCATCGCGCACGCCCGGGCGCTCCTCTGCGCGCGCCGCCAGCCGCGACGCCGCAGCACCGCCCGCATGCTGCTCGCCGAGCCAGCCGTCTCCTCCACGCCTGGCTCCGCCACTTCCGACTCTGCCGCCGCCGCCGTCCCCGCCGCCTTCGCTTCCAGCGAGCAGAGCGGCGTCGCCGTTTCCAGCGAGCAGAGCGCCGCCTCCGTATCCAGCGAGCAGAGCGGCATCGCCGTTTCCAGCGAGCAGAGCGGCGTCGCCGTTTCCAGCGAGCAGAGCGGCGTCGCGCCGCCCAACGAGCGGGGCGAGGTGCCGCACTACCTCTATGCGGCGGCGAGCCTCGAGCTGCGGCTGGTTGCCGACGAGACGCCGCACGCCGGGCCGGTGCTGCCGAGCGACGGGGCCCAGGTCGCGAACGGCGTGGACTGGTCTCGGCGCGTGTACGCGCCTCGGCTCTACGTCGACGAGCTCGGCCTGCTGGGCAAGCACGCGCTGCCTCTCTCGAGCGACGTGGGCAAGGAGCCTCCTCGGCTGCGGCTGCGGCTGCTGCCCATCTCCCTCGGTCGGTACCGCGCCACGCGCCAGCTGCACACGGCGCTTGGCGCGCTGCAGGCGGCCAGCGGGATGGAGGCAGTTTGACGCGCTGCGCGAGCTGTGCCTTCCCCCCTGAGCCTTCTCTGAACCTTCTCTGAACCTTCCTGCAGGCCGAGTTCGACGAGCTACGCGAGCTGCTCTCCGAGAAGCGCCTCTACCGCTTCGCGCTGATGCAGCTGATCGGGCTGCTCCACGTCGTCTTTGACGCGCTCGCCTTCCGGAACGACGTCGGCTTCTGGAAGGGGCGGGAGGACCTGAGGGGCCTGTCCTCGCGCGGCGTCATCTTCAACGCGGGCTCCACGCTCGTCATCTTCCTCTACCTGCTCGACGGCGACGGCGTCAACTCGATCGTCCTCGCTACCTACGCCTTCTCCACCGCCCTCGAGCTTTGGAAGCTGACCAAGGTGGTTGCGATGCGGCGGCGGGCGCGCGGCGCGGCCGGCGGCGCCGGCGGCGAGGGCGCGCGCGCCGAGGCGGCGACGGAGCGGTTCGACGAGGTTGCGACGCGGCACTTGACGTGGGGACTCGCGCCGCTGGTCGTCGGCTGGGCGCTGTACGCGCTGCTCCACTACCCGCACGCGTCGTGGCGCGCCGCTTCCCCGCCGTCCTCCCGCCAGCCCCGCCTCCGAGGGGGCGAGTCACCAACCTTGGATTCTGCACCCTCTTGTCAGGTACAGCTGGCTGCTCGGCTCGCTGGCCGACGCGATCTACCTCTTCGGCTTCATCGCGATGACGCCACAGCTCTTCATCAACTACAAGGCGCCGAGAGGAGCCGAGATGGCCCGAGATGGCCCGAGCTCTCCCAAGATCCCCAGATCTTCTTCAGCCACAAGGCGGTTCGCTGCTCAACCCCCCCGCACCCTCCAGGCCTCTGTCCCTCCCAGGGCACCCCCCTTCCCCGTGCCCCTGCCTGCGCCAGACCAGCCCCCTCGCTTCTGCCGTCGCCACGGCGCGCCGAGGAAGTACACACGCCGTTTCGAGGCAGAGCTCCCCCGCCCCCCCTCGCGCCAGATGAAGAGCGTCGCCCACCTGCCGTGGCGCGTCCTCGCGTACAAGGCCTTCAACACCTTCATCGACGACGCCTTCGCGCTGATGGTCGCGATGCCGACCGCCCACCGCGTCGCCTGCTTGCGGGACGACCTCGTCTTCCTCGTCCTCCTCTACCAGCGCCGCCTCTACCCCGTGGACCGGAAGCGCGCCAATGAGTTTGGCATCGCGTACGAGCGGGACGAGGCGGACGTCGCTCCCGCGCGAGGGGAGGGCAGCGCGGGAGATGGGGCCGAGGAGGGGCCTGCTAGAGGGGTGGAAGCGGAGGGCCTGCTAGAGGGGTGGAAGCGGAGGGCGAGGTACCCACCCGCCTCCTCGACCTCCCCACGGAGCTCCTCGTGCGTGTCGTCTCTCGCTGCGACCCCGCCGACATCGCTCGCGTTGCGGCCGTCTCGCACATCTTCCACGCCTCGCTTGCGAAGGAGGGCATCCGCTTGTGGGCGCAAGAGCGCGGCTTCGAGCTGGCGGCGCAGCCAGAGGGCGAGGGCTGTGCCGTGCGGTGGCTGTGTCTCGCTGCCTTGCTGCGCGAGTCCAACCCGCCGGTGAGGGCGTCGACAGGCCGCTCCCACAGCGTCTTCATCGACGGCGAGGGGCGCCTCTCGTCGTGCGGCAGTGAGTGGAGCTACACAGGCCTGCCTCGCCGTCCAGGATTGCTCGGGCACGGCGAGGGGGTGACACGGCTCGACACGCCGACGCGCCTCTCGTCGACGCTGGGCGGCGAGCGCGCCGTGAGCGTGTCGGCTGGAGTCGGCCACACCCTTGCCCTCACCGCTGATGGCGCTGTCTGGAGCTGGGGCGATGGAAACTACGGCCAGCTGGGCCACGGCGACCGGCAGTACCAGCTGCTGCCCAAGAAGGTCGAGGCCTTTGCTGGTCAGCACGTCGTCGCCGTGTCGGCTGGAGATAGCCACAGCCTCGCCATCACCGCTGACGGCGCTGTCTGGAGCTGGTGCCAGGGAGCCTGGGGCCAGCTGGGCCACGGCGACAAGCAGCCCCAGTGGCTGCCGAAGAAGATCGAGGCCTTTGCTGGCCAGCGCGTCGTCGCTGCGTCGGCTGGAGCGCAGCACAGCCTCGCCCTCACCGCCGACGGAGCCGTCTGGAGCTGGGGCTGGGGAGGCGATGGCGTGCTGGGCCACGGCGACCGGGAGGACCAGCTGCTGCCAAAAAGGGTCGAGGCCTTTGCGGGTCGGCGCGTGGTCGCTGTGTCGGCTGCAGACCGCCACAGCCTCGCCCTCGCCGCCGACGGAGCCGTCTGGAGCTGGGGCGAGGGAGGGTCGAAGGGAGGGGAAGGCTGGCTGGGCCACGGCGGCGGGCAGCGCCAGCTGCTGCCGAAGAAGGTCGAGGCTTTGGCTGAACAGCGTGTCCTCGCAGTGTCGGCTGGAGCGGCGCACAGCCTCGCCCTCACCGCCGACAGCGCCGTCTGGAGCTGGGGCTGGGGAGCTTGTGGCCAGCTGGGCCACGGCGATCAGCAGAGCCGGCTGCTGCCGAAGAAGGTCGAGGCCTTTGCTGACCAGAATGTCATCGCTGTGTCGGCTGGAGTTCGCCACAGCCTCGCCCTCACCGGCGATGGGGCCGTCTTTACTTGGGGCAAGGGCGACACCGGCTGCCTAGGACACGGAGCTGACCTGTCGAAGCAGCTGCTGCCCAAGAAGGTCGAGCGATAGCCGATAGAGTCCTAGACCGGGAAACCGATGAGCAGAGATTTTGCTGGTCAGCAAAAGTTTTCAGTAAAAATGTTCACCAATCAAAAGGTCGAAACCGAACCCGCCGCGAATTCTTTTTGAGTATGGGCGGCCTTTGCACGGCGGAGGAGGCGGAGGGGGACGGAGGCTCGCCGTCGGGGTTGGTCGGCGCTCGAGGCGGCTGTTGTGATGGAGTGCCGCCGTATCGACGCGGGCGGTTGGGGGGGGGGGTGCAGCGCTCGCTGGCTGGAGCTCGACGCGATCGCGGCGCGGATGCGTCGCGATCTCGGCGATCCTAACCCGGGCGCTTACCCTGTCACGCTGTTCTTGTCGAGGCCAGAGGGTCTGGGTGCACGCGGGGCGGCCGCGGAGGCGGCGTTTAGGCGGCTCTCGATCGAGGAGCGTGACGAGGTGGTCGCGGCGCTCGTGGCGGAGTTCAAGGCGGGGGAGCGGAAGGAGTTGTGCGGCTGGCATGCCGGGCGTGGGGTCCGGGCGTGGTCTGCTCCGTTCCCAGGGTGGGAGGATTGGGTGAGGGAGGGGCGGCTGCTCCTCTGGGAGGAGGACCTGGAGGAGTTGCGGAGCGGTGCTGGCGGGGGAGGGGGCGGGAAGTCCCGCCACGAACGCCGGCGGGGGGCGCGGCGGGAGCGACGGGGGGGGGGGGGGGGAGGGGAGCTTCTATTAGAAGCCGTCGTCCGCGCTTTGCCTGTTGTGTGAATCGTGCGTGTGCTGTGGCGTAGCGATAGTCCCCGCCGTAGGACGGTATGCGGCGATCGCCGCCCACCACCCTGCCCCCCCTGGTATGCCATCGACCCGTGCAGCTGCTGCTGTTCGAGTCGTTCGGCGGGTTCGGGAGGGGGGTCCGTGAGATCCTCTGGAAGGCGGCGGACGTGCTACAGAACAAGCTGACGCGGGCCCAATACCTCGATGAGGTGACTTGGACCACTAAGAATTGGCTGGGGCTGCAGAAGCAGCGTATCTCAGTCGTTCTTCACACGGCAATCGCAGAGCAGGTTGTGAATGAGCTTGCCTGTGGCGGGGGTGGGCGGGTGCACGGAGCTAAGTGCCTCGCCACCCTCGCAGGAGTCGCTTAGGCGGCTCCCGTGGTGTACCTGTGTTAGTGCCAGTGCGCGCCAGTCCCGTGCCCATAAATAAATAAATAGAGCAGTCATCTCCAGGGAGAGATGGGCGACGCACACGAACACAGTCCCGTGCCCAGTGTTGTTGGAGCCGTAGTCCTTTTCACCACCCAAGACAGCTTGGAGAGCTCCCGGTAAGGCTACATTTCGTAACGATCGTCGCTATTGGCCATCTGCCTCCTGCAGCCTCTGTTGGGGCGGAATGCGCGGGGTTTTCGGCGCAATGCCTCCGGCTAGTACACGGTACTGCTCTGCCGCAAACTCTCCTGCGCTCGCGTGACGTGTGGGGCACACGCACTGCGCTCGAAAGTCGCAATTTGGCAATAGGCGCTCGAGCCGGCGCGCAGTGGAGGGGGCGCCGCGCAGGGGGATCGGGGGGGTGCGAGAGGGGGCGTGGGTCGGGCGCGCACCGGCCGGCTCCGGGAGCGGCCGTCACGTCGAAGAGGGGACCTGGTGCTGCTCGAATGACGACGCATGCCGCTCTGCTGCGCCGCCGATAGCCCCTCTTCCGAGCCGGCGCGTGGCGGCGAGCCGCGGCCAGTATCGCTGGTGCGGTGGAGGCGGCAGCTTGCATCGGCCGGCAGCGGGTGCGGCCATCACGTCGATGAGGGGGGGTTGTCGGCGACTCGTGTGGCTCGAGGCCTACGCTGACCGCCCAAGCCCTACTGCCGATCCAGCGCCTGGCGTTTGGGGCGAGCCGCGGTCGTCGTCGCTGATGGTATATGGCGGCGGCGGCGGCGGCTCGCCCTTCCCTCCGGCCGCAATTCCGATCCCGCCGCGCGGGAGTTGGCGCGCCCACCGCGGCACGGCGTGGCTGCGCATACTGCATACACCTTACGCCCTTTCTCCTCAACGGCTATCCGTGCTTGCTGTGCCCCTGCGTGGTGTGTTTCAAGTTCTTACAACCCAAGGTGATAGAGGGCAAAAAGATCGATTGCGCTCTTGCCGATCCGCACCTACCTAGGCTCTTGGGTGGCGCGCCCCAGCTCTTCACAGCGAACCTGGTTTTTGGGCTTGCGCTTCTCGCGCCGAGCTCGACGAGAGTGACGAGAATGCCTGCGCGCGGTGGTCGCTGGCGCCTGCCGACCCTGCTGTGCCTGGCGCCGCTGCTGCTCGCTCCGGCGGATGCGCTCGCGGCCGGCGGCTGGTCGAGCCGTCCCGCTCGCGCCGCGCTGCGCACGCGGATGCTTCGGGCGAGCGAGCCTGCCGGCGGAGAGCCGGGCCCAGGGGCTGCTGCTGGCGGTGCGGCGAGCGATGCGGACGCGGGGATGGGGCTGGTCGGGCGAGAGGCGCCCGACTTGGAGGGGCTCGACTTCGAGGCGCGGCTGCAGGTGCTCGCCAAGCAGTACGAGAATGTGGTGCCGGTGGACCCAAAGGTGCAGGAGGAGGAGGACAAGCTCGCGCCGGCGCGCGAGTGGGACGACGACGAGAAGTTCTGGAAGCCCGACTTTTGGACGGCCGTCTTCGAGGACGTCAAGGACGTCGAGTACCCTTCCATCAAGAAGGTGACGCAGACGCTCTTCATCTCGCAGGCGTGCACGCCTCCCACGCCCATGCGCCCACCCCCGGGGACGCGGTGGCGCTGGGTGCCGCGCCCTCGCCGCGACGTCTCGCCCACCCGCGCGCGGCGTGGCGGGCGCAGGTCGCCTTTGTGGTTGTGATTGTGCTGGTGCTCGTCTTTGACGCCCTCGCCGACGCCACCATCCGGTCAGTGCTGCTGGGCGACGACTTCTCCATCACGATGGACAAAATCCTGAAAACCGCCGGCAAGACGCAGCCCATGTGAGCCCACGGCCGCCGCGCGAGCGGGCGGGGCGGGGCGGCGTGGAGAGCTGACGCTGAGCGCGGTCTGTCACGCATCAGTGGCGACTGCCAACCTCTGCTACCGACGTACTAGCACCGCACTCGAGTCCCCTCCTTCGGCGTGCCGGAATGGAATACGTGTGTCTGCCTTTCGCGCTATTGAAATCCATTCACAGCAGCGGTCCCCACGCCCCCGCCTGCTGTGCGGAGGCTCGCTTGGAGAAAAGCACTCTCGGTTTGGCCAAAGTACAGGTTTCGATCCCCGGGCCACCGCAAATTTTGATCAGCAAATTTCGAGGAGCGGCCGCAAATTTTGAGGTAGATTTTGATTGTCAAAACGTGTCCGTCTTGGCACAGGATAGAGCATATAGGCGGCGAACACCCAGGTGCGCAGGGACATCGCGACTCCATTCGTGGATAAAGCAGACACCAGACCTCGGTTTCCCATAGGGTTTCTGATGCGGTTTCCCATGGCGGTTTCCCATAGCCGAAAACCCACGGGTCGGTCGGTTTCTGCGGCGCGCTCTGTTTTTTCTGGGATCTGTTTTCTGGGACACCCGCCTCGATTTCCCGTGGGATCTGCCTGTGGGTCTGGTTTCTGCGGTGTGAATACATCTCCCGCTTCGTCCTAATGAGCTCATTCCGGCCAATGAACAGGTGACCACCATCCGAATTTTTTTCAAGTGGGAACAGCAAAAAGCGGCATGCATTCTGGACTGCGTTCTGGTTTCTGGTTTCTGCTCCGACTGGTGATGAGTGTTACAAGCTGAGGTTGTCAACGCCGGGTGAGGGTAAATCTCGGCACGGATCGGCACGTGTGGTAGCGTGCGATGAGGCCTTGCCAGCTCCTGGTGGTGCCCTCATACAAGATCGCCGCGCGCATTGGCCGCTCCGCCGACGTTGTGATGAGCTTATTTCTGTCTCCAACAGAGTAGATCCAAACACACTATTGATAGATGATAGGTACTTAAAACACTCGCACAACGCCCGCCTTTCACAGCTCAGCCTTTCAGGGCTTGGGCATGACAAGCAACGGCCCCGCCGGTCGGCGTCCGATGCACAAGGCAGCCATGTTGGCTGCCACGGCGTCTCCGCTCGGGATCGCGGCAGCCTGGCGGACCCCGTGAGCCACAAAAGTGCTTGGCAGCGCGGCGCGTCGCCAACCTCGCTTTCGAAGCAAAAACCAGAAACCAGAAACCTAATGCCGGTGGGCTCATCTATCGCGATATTTCGATAAAACCCCTGCTATCGAAAAACCAGAAACCAGAAACCAGACCTACGCGTTCCCCCCAAGGGTTCCTCCCACCCAGAACATGCTGCTGTCTTAGTACTCCCGTTCGACCCATTCGGAATCCGATGAGTTAATGAGGGGTCATTCCGCCGGAATGACCCCTCCGGGGAGATCGTTCACACCTCGAAAAACCAGAACCCAGAGCGTCTGGACCGATATTCCCATGGCCCGGATGTTTTCTGTGGGATGTGGCGAAAAAGCAGAATACAGAGCTCCTCCTCCTAGAAGTCAGACGTTTTCTTGATAGCTGATATGCCAGGGAAGAGCCTGGTATCTCAGTATGTTATATCCTATGATATAACATAGTGGTGTCTGGTTTATCCATACCTCCGCGACTCTGCCCGCTCGCTCGACCCTTTTGCCGCGAGAGGGCGCCGGCCGCGTGTAAGAGGTGGCTGGCGCCCTGAGGCGGCATTTGGTGGCTGGGGAGTGCGGAGAACGCTACTGGCGGCGTGACAGGGCCTCTCTCGATTGCGTGTGCCGCCCATCGGCACGCGGGTGCGCAGACATCGCGACTCTGCCGCTCGCTCGACCCTTTTGCCGCGAGAGGGCGCCGGCCGCGTGTAAGAGGTGGCTGGCGCCCTGAGGCGGCAATTGGTGGCGTGGGGAGTGCGGAGAACGCTACTGGCGGCGCGACAGGGCCTCTCTCCGCTGCGTGCGCCGCCCATCGGCACGCGGGTGCGCAGACATCGCGACTCTGCCCGCTCGCTCGACTCTTTTGCCGCGAGAGGGCGCCGGCCGCGTGTAAGAGGTGGCTGGCGGCCTGAGGCGGCATTTGGTGGCGTGGGGAGTGCGGAACGCTACTGGCGGCGCGACAGGGCCTCTCTCCGCTGCGTGCGCCGCCCATCGGCACGCGGGTGCGCAGACATCGCGACTCTGCCCGCTCGCTCGACTCTTTTGCCGCGAGAGGGCGCCGGACGCGAGCACGTGGAGCACTCGGAGGAGACGGAGTACTCCGAAGTTTGGGGCGCACCCACACACCCACACACCCACGTGGTAATCTTTTACAGTAGGCACAAGTTGGCACAGTACAATGGACTCTGAAGTTTGGGGCACACAACGCACACGCACAACGCACCCACACACCCAGGGGTCTCTACAATGCAACCTCCCAAGCAAGCTCCCAGACATCAAGTGGGAAAGGGGTTCTGCCAGCGAGCACCATGCAGTGGTCTGCGGCTGGGCCCTCATTCAACAGTCAGCGTGGCGCGTCGCCAGAGGGGAGCTTTTCTTCACCCCCTCGCATGCAGCAGGACAGTACGGGGCTCCCACGCGCCACGGTTGGGCCCAAGGCCAAGCGCAGGCCAGCAAGCGCGAGCAACAAAAACAGCACGCTCTATCTATACGGTTTATAATTATCTTACTGTGCCCACACGCGGCCTCAGAGAGAGGGCCAGTCCCCGAACCATGACCACCGACAACATCCATCCATCCACACCATCGTGCCACGACTTGCACGAAGCACTTACCCAATAAGTGCAAGGAAAGTCTGGCCCAGCCACCCATAAGTACTGTATCCTGAAACCGCTGGCTGGGCCTCACGTGACCTCCTCCGCCCCGTCAGAGCTGAGCAGCTGAGTAGCAGGGTCACACCAAAAAAAGTCACAGGCAGAGTCGCTGCAGCAAGGCCTTCTGCTCGCCGCCCACCGTGCCCGCCGAGTCCGACGACCGCACGGTGCTCTCCGCGCCGGCTCACCGTGCTCCACGCCGTGCGTGATCGGCAGGTACGACGGTGGTAAGACTCACACCGACCACCATGGGCGTCGTGCTCAGCAAGGTCTTCGAAAACCTCTCCTCTTGCCGCGAGGCCGCCGCTCCGGCGGCAGAGGCTGACGTCCCGATGGAGCAAGCGCTGAGCGATGCCGAGCTTTCATCAGATCACGAGCACGAGGAGCAGCCGCTGCTCCATGAGTAGCGGCTCCGCGACGACAGTCAACCAGACTCGTGCGCTCGTGAAATGGAAGACAAAGCAGCGGCAGGTCAAGACGCAGGGGCAGCTCGCGGCTGAAATCGGGTGGTCGCCTCCGCAGCTCTCCTTCTTCCTCAATGGGAAGGCATTTGGCGCCCTGCGTGCCTGCGTCTTCGCCTCCACATCCATTTCCAACAAAGCCAAAAAGGCGGTCTACGAGGCGATCGTTCTCTCGACCGTCCTCTACGGCTGCGAGACGTGGAGTTTGACCGAGGAGCTGACCGGCGGCTGCGCTGCATGCATGCCCATCACTTACGAGCAATGTGCCGGGTGTCGCGCAGCCAGGCGTGGGAGCATCACATCTCGACCCAAGAGCTGGGACAGCGGCTGGGGTTGGACTCCATCGAGTTCTACATCGCTCGCCGGCAGCTCCGGTGGCTTGGACACGTCAGCCGTATGCCTTACGAGACGAGGCTCCCTCGCCGCTTGCTCTCGGCGTGGGTGCCCCATCGCCGCCCGATAGGCTCGCCGTCCATGACGTACGGCCGCTCCATCTTCAAGGCGCTCGAGATGTTCCGCATCGACAAGACGCGCTGGCCCGAGCTCGCCGCGAACCGCAGCGCATGGCGCGAGACCTTGCGGACGGGCGTTGCCCCGCCTGCCTTTTGGCCGCCGGCTCCACCGCCGCAGGCCAAGCCCCTGTCGCGCACAAAGCTCCCCCGGAGCAGCGCGCAGCAGACCCAAGCCAATGAATGAGTCGCTCCGCCGGGAGCGTCTCTCATGACAACATACACATACATACATTCATTCATGACTCTCAGTCTACAGTCAGCGCTTTGATCCCAATCACGACACATGTGTGACTCGCCTAGTGTGGAGACGCCGTGTACCGTGGGGCCTTGTTGTCCTAGCACGGGAGTACCCGTGTGGACCGGAGGTAACAGCAGCAGCAGCAACCTGCGGAGGCACCCTCGACGCTGGCGAGGTACTTCAAGCCTGCTGTGAAAACAGCTGACGCAGTCTCGCCGCGGCTCGCCCCAGCATCTCGGGTTGACTCGGCCAGACTAAAACCCCGAGAGGCGTGGGAGTACCTCGCCAGCCTCGAAGTCAACGAGGCCCAACCCTGTGGCTCCTACTGCCTACAACTCGATGTTGCTGCTGTCGCTGCCTCTGTTTCCCTCCGGTTTCGTGCTCCTCAGCGGTGGGGCTCCTCGCTCCTCGCTGGCTCCGCCGCGCACCGGCGCGGCTCTCAGCATGCGCGACGACCAGGCGACCCGGGACGACGCGCCGGGCCAGTCCTTCGACAACGACATGAGCGGCTGGAAGCCGCCGGGAGGCGGCGGCGGCGGCGGCCACGGCCTGGGTGGCGACACCTCGAAGTTTACCACGACCGACTCGCCCGACTTTCTCCCCGAGGAAGGGAGCGAGGAGGCGAAGCTCGCGTCGGGCATCAGCTACACCGACGGGATGATGGGCAGCCAAGCGGACCCGAACCGGAAAAAGTCGACGGGTCCCGAGCTGGCTGGCGCGCTCGACTCGGACCCGGACATCTACGTGCCGGAGGTGGAGGAGGTGGTCGCCGACTCGAGCCTCTTTGTGCTGCCAGAGGCGTCTTGGAAGCTGTCCAAGATGGAGGCGCGCCTCCTCACCTGACCTCTTCTCGCACCCCTCCCTGCGTGCGCGCCCGTCGCCGGCCCACTCGCCGTCCCCGAGCCGCGCAGGTCTAACCCTAACCCTTACCCTAACCCTAACCCTAACCCTAACCCCGAGCCGCGCAGGTCTCTAACCCTAACCCTAACCCTAACCCTAACCCTACCCTAACCCGAGCCGCGCAGGTCTCGCAGACGGACGAGGACCTCGAGTTCAGCTGCTCGGCGACAGAGGGAGGCGCGATGAAGGCGCGCGGAGGCGCACTGCCTCGGCCACGCTGCTCGGAGAGGGCGAGGTCGCTCCGCCGCGTCGCAGGTTGACGTCAAGCCCGTCTGCATGACCTTCGAGGACTACTACTGCGGCTTCACCTCCGACTCGCACCCCGCCTTCTCCGTCTCGCCCGACGCCGGAAAGATGGAGCGGCGGAACGGCCCGCCCACGACCGTGACCGTGACCTGCAACCCGAAGGCGAGCCGCGACGCCCGCGGCCCGGCCGCTGCCCCGTACTCCCGCCCCCGCGACCCGCCCAACCGACCCGCCGCGACCGCAGGGCGCCTCCGGCGCGCTGGTCGGCTACCTCTGCTTCATCCTGCCCGAGGAGAGGGACTTTTCAACCTTTTACAAAGTCACGTGCAACTCGCGGTAGAGGCCGCTCCGCTCGACGGGCTCGTGCTAGGTCCCGGCCCCCGGAAGACAATGCTCATGCATGCATGGCCCTCGTAGGGGCTGCTATCTCTGCTCTTCCGCTCACGCGCAGAGAGCTCTGAGAGCCAGAGTACGTAGCTCTTTTTTGCCGTGTGATAGACCTTTTAAGTTTTATTTGAAGCATTTTAGAGCACACGAAGCAGGAGAAGCCCGCTGGGGCGTGGGGCACGGCTCAGCTTTGTACGGTTCACTGACTGTAAAAAAACCTCGGCGCACGTGTGAACGTCACATCGACGCCGCCTGCCCGCTGCCGTTCGCGTGCTGCGGCGCGGCGTCACCCGCGACCGTGCGACGGCGTCGAGAGTGCCGCGGGGTCGAGGTGGGCGAGGTACTGCACCGCGGCGCGCGCGATCGTGAAGGGCTCCCCCGCCTCCGGCGACCAGAGCTGGTGCGGGTCGACGAAGCGCGCGACGTACTCGAGGTTGGAGTGGAGGCGAGCTGGCCGCGCGCGCAAGATGGCGAGGGCGAGGAGCCGGACGAAGGAGCCGTCGCTGGGCGCG